AGTTGGAACTGGGTTTGACTAAATACATGAATGCACATAAATCACATAAATAATACTGGAAAAAGAACATAATATAACATGTATGATGAAGCAATATTTTGAACACAAACAATAAAAATATATATCATCATCGATACATGGCAAGATAGTCATAAACAATAATCTGACAAGTATAATTTCTGGAGATTATTTTCATTGATGATTATGAGCGGTTAGAAAAACCCTTTTAAAAGGGACAGATGGACAGTTTTTGGGGGCTGATTTTATTTTCGATGTATGTTAATAGTCTTCAGAAGTACTAGAAATATACGAAATTCCCATAATTCCTTCAAAAATATCTCAAACTAGAAATTCCTTACTCACTTTTATTACTGATAGGCTTAGCTAAAAAAAATTCCTGTTTCTGAAACTAAAGTATGATTAGTCAAAAAATGGTGCATCTGTCCCTTTAAGTCCCTCAACTAAACACTTGGTAAAGATTATTATTGATCTCATGCAATGTAATGGCAAACTGTGTGTTGTCCCCATATGTCACAGTACATGTAAATGAATAAGTAAATTCTCTAGGCAAATTAATGTCCACCTGCGTTTGATAATTTTGATAATGGAGATGGTTGGAGATAAGTTTTGTTGTAACAACTGTAGATGGTAATAATTTGTTTGTCAACAAGTTATTCTAAACAATAAGTTGTAAAAAGTATGACTTCAGGACCAAAGTTTAATCAAACTAAATGGAAATTTCTGAGTTTAATTGTATAATAAAATATTGAAATATTGACCTAGATGTACCAAATATGCATTTATAGTCTAATATTATTCTTTTGCTAATCAGTTCACAGGAAGGTAACAGTCAGTTGCGAGCACACAAGCGGTCATTGTCGTAGATTTTTGTTACCGATTAGAGTCTTGAGAAAAATCTTGCATGTGTCCATGCTTCCACAACAAGATTATCGCATCCCTGACAGGATTTATCATATCAAACAAGTTTGATAATTGTTTTCGATAGTTTTATCGTCTGCATGAAACCGTCTTCATCTATTCAGATTCCTTTTACTTTCAATTGTATGCTCCGCACGTGATTATTGACAAGGTGGAAAACTACCAGTCAGTCGGTGAAACTCGAGACAAGACTCTTAATCAACGACAAAAGTCTCCGGCCAAACTTGTCGTGTGCCAACACCTTTACACTCACTTATTTGGTACAAATATTCATGTATGTAGGCCTACCAGACATGTTCAAAAAGTTTTCAGTTTTTAAACAATTCTTAGCTTCACCAAGAATATAATGCATCAGGGCTGTAGATATCAAAGCGAATATATTTAGGGAATATCATATTTATATTTTTAATGTTTCTTTTTTTTTTCTCATTTTCATTCTCCATTGCTCTAGTGAAGGCCCTGCTACATTCCCTTCAATTTAGCACTTTGTATTTATAAAAACCATTATATATGCATTAAGTCCTTCATTTCATTTCTGAAATCAATACAATATATTATTATATAACTTGTATGAAATTTTCTCAAATGTTTTTAAATGAGAAGCAGATTTAAATAAAATGACATATACAAAAACAAAATATTTTCAGTGTTAAAACAGTGCTCAATACAGAAATTGCAGATCAAAATAGAAATATTTAAACAGTAACAACATGTTTCAGGTTCTGTTTTAAAATTTCTATAATGAAATATATATATACAAATCTTAACATTTAGACAACAAATAATGTGTAAACTCAATACTTTTATAACATAAAATAAAATATAAATTTGAGGTAACTCAATACAACAACAAGAGATTATTGCACTATCAATCACACATTTACACCCATAATAGAAAAACGTAATATACACACAATACTCAAATCAAAAAAAAATATTACATTTTCATGGACAATTAAAAAAAAATATACAGCTTCACAAATATCTTTTAAAATCAAATGAAAAAAAAATATATAAATAGCTTGGGTAGGAACATAAATCTAGTCAATTTTTGAAATTTACAAATAGATTCTTTACCATTCGTAGGGATCTTATAATTTCAGTCTTTTCAGAACTTATATACCAGTTTAATCATTGTGATAATAGACATGTAAACCTTGGCCAGTGCTTCTATAGATGAGTATCTTCTCTAAGACCTACTACTGAATCCAAATTATCTAATTTAGGAGTCTAAGGAATCAATCAGTCCAGAGAATAACAAATCGTGGATTAACGAATAGTGTCAACAAACATGATATGTTTAAAACATGTAGTCTATGTTCTCAAAGAAAATTACATAACCACAACAATTCACACAAAAATCTATGGATAGAAAATTGGAAAAAGTGATGATATGAACACGTGGGATAATATGTTAAGTACAAAATATGAAACATATATTATAATGTGATTAGAAGAAATGTTTTAATATTTGAAAAAAAAATTGAGTATTCAGTTTAAAAAAATTATCACAACCTTTCTTAATGTACAACTTTGGATAATTTGAAATAGAAATTTTCAGGCTTAAAGGGATAGTAAAGAGGTTTTCTTAATTTTCATGTATATCAGGGACACTGATAGCATCAATTTGCTCCATTCCAATTTTCAATCAGACATCTGTCATACCTAAAATTTCACTAAAACTAAGCGTTTGATGACATCACCAATTGCAAAATATGCTGCAAGCATCACAATAAGTATTTCCTGATAAGTGATCTCATCAAACGCTTAGTTTAAATGCAATTGCAAGAACTAAAAATGTCTTATTGAAAATTGGAATGGTGAAAATTGATGCTGTCAGTGTCCCAATACACATACAAAATTTAGAAACCTCTTTAAGATCGTGGTGTTTGGTGTACTAAATTCAAAAAAACAAATTCTGATAGAATTTTTTGCAATGTAGTTCAAGAAAATCTAAAAAAACTTGTTATTTTTCTTCTTTATAATGAAACTTTTATGTGGTTGAGTAATTGAATTATTTTCTGTAAATAGAATTTACTATTTTTAGTTTTCTATTCAAATGTATTCTATTAATGTTTTTTGAATTTTGTAACATCTGCTTGCAATACTGTTTTTGTGAATCTCTAAGATTTTTTATGCAATGGAGAAATTTAAAATTGTCAACATTGAACACTAGGTTCAACTCACAAAATCCAGTAAAATTTGCCTTGAAATTTCATTACAAATGTGGAATTTATTTACTGTGAATGTAAAATGGAAGAGAATAATATCAATATATACAAGTATGCTTTCAAATACCTTTCCCCTGATCAAAATATTTAACAACAACAACAAACTGGAACGTATTCAGTTTCCAGATCCTACTGAATCAAACAGACCTTTTTCTTATATAAACACAACTGTGTACTTTAAAAGTAGTAAATGATATGCCAGAAACAAATCATGTATTTGTCAGTACCTATATATAAACCAAATTAGGGAGTATTTACCATTACTCCAAATGAAAAATCTTTTATTGTATTGGGTACAGGCTTAATTATTTTTTCTATTTATTCTGCATATCTATCTGTAATTATAGAAAGACTGCATGTGTATCTTCTTAACACACCATTCCTAAAGTTTCTTTAAACATTACCTAATTATTGAGTTTTCCAATAATAATAGCCATGGTTTACTATTTTTGGAGTTTGATTTTGGTCTTGAAATGGCTAGTCATCAATACATGATAATTCTGGACATACATGGATTTGAAGGCTGAAATTTCGATAGTAAGCTGTGAACACTTTTACTGATTAGCTCAGCTGAACATTTCCCATCTCTGAGACAAAGGTACGATTGACCCTGACAATCATCAACCTTGGCTTTAAGAATACTGTTCTCATTCTCATAACAATATATTTAACATAGCCTGATGAGGCTGAAGGAAGAAAGATGGCAAGTGATGGTGACAGTGTAATATATACATGGTGATAAAAAAAAGTTGGTATCAAACTTCTTCTTCTTTGATTTCATCAATAACAGGTATCGCAGGCTTGTCTTTTATTAATGTTTGTAGTAAATATAACATTTGGTCCACTTTTTGATCCATCTTGGAGACCTGAAAGTGAAAACATATTGCGAATTTATCTACCACTTAAACCTTAGCAATTTTAAATCCAGTTGTTCTACTTGCTTTCTGTATCAATAAAAGGTGGTATATGTGCTTTGCAATATTATACTGTTTATGAACATCTAATAGCTAGAATATGGCCTAGGCTATAGCATAAATGAGGCAAATGCCTAAAATTTGAAATTACTACCAGCCTTAAAAATTGAAATTGTTTTTCAATTCTGTATCTGAAATCAACCAAACCCCACTTTGCCTCATTTTTATACGTCCATATAAATTGGGTCATTCCAAAAAGAAAAAAACAGGCAGCAATAACCAATCACAGAAGACTTTTTGATGGGATCACCAATACCACTAGTAGTACAGCGATTCATTTGATGTATACTGAACTTGGTGTAATAAATAATAAAACTTGACATCAAATACCATCCTTTAATACCCAACGTTCGTCAAAAAAGTTTTGAGTTCATCAGGGGAAGAAATAAACTACAAATGGTGGAACGAAATGTTGGGTATTAAAGGATGGTATTTGATGTCAAGTTTTATTACATATAAATTGGGGGCGTATATTGCCATCACCCATTCCGTCGGTCCGTCCACAATTACTGTATACATTCTAGAAGGAAACTTAGAATTATTGTTGGTAATCACCTAAGGATGAACCTATCAAAAATCAGAAGACTCGAAAAATATTTAGTATGAGTTATTGCACTTGTTCTTAAAAATGCATTCAAGTTTTAGTCTGTAAACACTCTAGAAGGCCCAATTCTTAACAGATTTTGACGAAACTTGGTAATATTATTCAGTATCGCCTCGAAAAGATCAAGAGAAGTGTATGACTGAAGGTTGAATATTTCATACTGGTAATTCTCACCTGACTTTCAACTCGTACTATTCTAGCACTAATTGTAGATTTCTCTCTATCTCGAGAATGATTACCATATAAAGTACTTGGTTTACCCAATGTTTGATCTAATCTGTAAAGGAAAAACAGTTTAATAGGAATTGTGTCAAAAGTCAAATAAATTTATAAGTAACCTGCCTGAAACCTGCACATGATTAAGTAGAAAATCTGGTTCTCTGCACACAACAAGATCAAATCCACATAACAGTACGTCAAAGTGACTTAGATTTTTACCCTGAATAATCCTATAATTCCTTGTAAACTTGAATAGATAATTTGACTAAGAATCCTTAATATCTTAGAACCTTGCACAAAAAAAATTGTGTCAAAAAAATTCTAACTTAAAAAAAACATAAATATTGAGTATATAATTTATTTTATGGATAGAAGTTAGAATCCTTACAAGACTTAACCAAACAAAATCACTCATCTGAATGCAAACTTTTAAATAACTATGCAATTTTACAAATACTAGTGAACATTTATTAGACATATTTCTACAGATAATAACATGTTATTATGTAAATGGATTAGAATAAAAAAAAATCATGTATGGTTTTTGATATTAGGATGAATGATTACATGTCTCTGTATAATTATTTATCTCATGCAATATGTGACTTGTATTAACTTTTTGGTCATTAACTGATCATTTTCTAATGGTTGATTTACAGTCACTGTGTTCAAATTTGTTTTAAAATAACTCTCTTGTATCAGTTCAAAATTACTTGAAAGCAAAAATAGTTATTTTTGTTATGTAATAGCATTATCTTCAACTGGATAAAAAGATCTACTTTCATCCAATTATATAACAATCAGCCTATTATATGTATCTATTATAGTCAAATGTCAAAGCAAGCGTTCAGGATAGATAAATTACACTCTCATGCACGAGATGTAATATAGGATGATTAAAACAGCAGTGAGGTCTTGAAAATGACTTTACAGCTGATGATCAAATTTAGTTTCAAAGAGACAGATTTGGAAATGGTCATAATGATAAACTTTTAGGAACAACTTTTAGGAAGAACCAATTGATATCTACTGTTTAATTAGTATTATTTGTTTGGGATTCAACTTTCCTTTGTAGCCAATCCATGAATTCCCGTCCCCACAAAATTCATGATTATTTATTTACCTTCTCTGTAATTCTTTAATTCTAACCATCATATTAAGATGACCCTGAGAATATTGTTCTATCACATCACGTACATCATAAGGTTTTCTTGCTTGCTGTAAATATAATAAATAACATCATGAGGTTTTCTTGTAAATATAATAAATAACATCATAAGGTTTTCTTGCTTGTTGTAAATATATTAAATAACATCATAAGGTTTTCTTGCTTGATGTAAATATAATAAATAATATCATGAGGTTTTCTTGCTTGTTGTAAATATAATAAATAACATCATGAGGTTTTCTTGTAAATATAATAAATAATATCATAAGGTTTTCTTGTGTGCTGTAAATTTAATAAATAATATCATAAGGTTTTCTTGCGTGCTGTAAATATAATAAATAACATGAGGTTTTCTTGTAAATATAATAATAACATCATAAGGTTTTCTTGTGTGCTGTAAATTCAATAAATAATATCATAAGGTTTTCTTGTGTGCTGTAAATTTAATAAATAATATCATAAGGTTTTCTTGTGTGCTGTAAATTTAATAAATAACATCATAAGGTTTTCTTGTAAATATAATAAATAACATGAGGTTTTCTTGTAAATATAATAATAACATCATGAGGTGTTCTTGTAAATATAATAAATACCATCATAAGGTTTTCTTGCTTGCTGTAAATATAATAAATAATGTCAAGAGGTTTTCTTGTAAATATAATAAATAACATCATAATGTTTTCGTGTAAATATAATCAATAACATCATAAGGTTTTCTTGTAAATATAATATATAACATTAAAGGATTTTCTTGCTTGCTGTAAATATAACATAATATCACGAGGTTTTCTAGCTTGCTGTAAATATAATAAATAACGTCAAAGGGTTTACTTGCTTGCTGTAAATAAAATGAATTTGTTTTAATAAATATAATAAATGTAAATAACATAGAACACATCATACCATAAACATATTGTTAACATAAAATTTGAATTAAGAGTGAACATACATATATTATCAAAGTTATAAATATTACAGAAGAATATAATGATAGTTTAACACAAAAAGAAATATGTGTCTGTACTAGTTGTTGAATTTATAGGATTTTTTCATGAAGATTAATCAGATTTGTCTGAGAGTTCAATTATCCTGGATTTTATTCATACTTTAATAAGCCTAAATGAATCTTTGAAATCCTTCATTCTTATAAATAATTGACTTGAGCAAAGTATAGCATCATCCCATTGGTTATCTAATTGTAGGTATACTAAAAAATAGATTTCCGTTCTTAAATGTGATATGGGTATGGTGTATAAAGTTGGTAAAACAAAATTAATTCTGAAGTTTCATACTTTGCTTGATAACTTGATTGCTTCATTCCTTCAACAAGTAATATTTGTTCTGGTATCTGCAATTCCAGAAAAATTTGGATTGTTTTTGAGAATTACTAATACTCAGCTTTACAGAAACTCAGCTTTATATGTGTTTTTGAGAATTACTGATACTCAGCAATACTGATACTCAGATCTACTGAAACTCAGCTTTACTGAAACTCAGCTTTACATGTGTTTTTGAGAATTACTGATACTCAACAATACTGATACTCAGCTTTACTGAAACGCAGCTGTACATGTGTTTTTGAGAATTACTGATACTCAGCAATACTGATACTCAGCTTTACTGATACTCAGCTTTATGAGGGTAGCTGAAATAGGCTGACACGGAATGAAACTTGGTATACATTAAAATCAAATAATCAAAAATTTTGTTTCTTTTCAGATCAACTGAGCCAGATTGAGTATTTCAAGATGTTGAAAATTAGAACCAGAGACATTATGTGAATATGGATAAAATTTGGTACACCAGACTGGTCATGTTTCATTGCAGTGGCATTTCTTCCAAGTAAGACTATGAACTTTTCATCCCACCCTCTATTTTTGTTGGATTTTACTAGGTGAATGTTTTAGTATACGCCCACATTATAATGTGGTCGTATATTGTTGTCGCCCCTGTCTGTCAGTCCGTCCGTTCACAATTGGCTTGTGAACGCAATAGAGACAACAGTTTTTATCTGATTTGAATGAAATTTGGTGTGATCATTTATATTCATGAGATCTTGGACAGGTTAGAAATTGGCTATCTTTTGATGAATGGTTTTTGAGTTATTGCCCTTGACTTATAAAAAACGTGTCAAAATTTGGTTGTGAACTCAAAAGAGACTACAGTTTTCCTCCAATTTAAATGAAATGTGAATATTTATAATGATGAGATCTTGGACAAGTTCGAATTCGTTTGTGAACACAATAAAGACTACAGTTTTCATCCGATTTAAATGAAATTTGTAATGATCATTTATAATGATGAGATCTTAGTCAAGATAGAATTTGACAATTTTTCGATGAACGGAATTTGAGTTATTGCCCTTGACTTAGTAAAAACGCATAAAAATTTGTTAGCGATAGAGGTAACAGTTTATGTCAGAAGTTTATTAAATAATGTGTGTTTGTTTAAATCAACAATATCTTGCACAAATTAGATTTTTGGTATGATTTGACACAGATAGGTTACTGCCCTTGATATACTGAAAATGTATCAGAAAAGTGGGCGTATCTTGCTAGGCAATCACTTGTATAACATTTCAAAAAGTACGTTGTCTGAATCAATGTTTGAAGTAAAAAAAAAAACCAACTTATAGAACTTAACAGGAAAAAAGATATGTAATGAAAGCTATTGATTACCTGAAATTTTCTTCTAGAAACAAAATATTTTATTTTTCTAATAACACGAATGGCAGTTTTATGAGCCTCTGTTAACCTTTAAAATAAAGAAGAGCTGTGATAAACGATTTGTTGATGTGTTAAAAACTCTACAAAAACAAGCCATTATACAAATTACTTCAAATTATTGCAGTTTTCCCTGCATGTTTTCAAACATGGCATGATACACTGTTAAAAAGTCAAGTTTTAAATTAGTCCCAATAGAACCAGAAGGCTACAGATCACATTTGGTAGTTAAATGCACTTTTATGGCAATTACATGTGCAAAGAGTTAAATATTGACTTTTAGGACATGACAATGAATTCATATGATGGTAATGTATGGAATTCCTGGCTTTGTCATTCTTTTCAAAGCTGCATCATTCAGGAGTGCTGGTTGATTCAGTTTGAGTCTTCCTCACTAGTTTTGATGGATTTTGGACTTTTGAAAATGCCTGTCAGCTCTTTAAGATCTGTATGACTTTAGATGTCAGAAATTGTTTAAAAATAGGAGAGAGCCATCTAAAGAAATGAAATGAAATGAATGGAGTTTTACATCCTGTTTTTCTGCACCATGAGGGCTAATGAAGACGGGCAACGCCATGCAGGGTGCAATGAGGGACATTTTGCCAGGACAGCAGCATTAGCCTGCTCTTTTTTGATTTCCAACTGTCAAGGGATCTTTAACGTGCACAACCTGTAGCACACAGGGCCTCAGTTTATTGTTCCAACCGAACGACTAGACGCTTTTTCCATGTCAGCCCCTCTTACCTGCATCAACGCCAGGGGGAAACCAGGTTGAAAAATCCTAAGGTATTATCTCGACCTATGCCAGGATGGAACCCTGGACCTTCAGGTTAGCGAGCAAGCGTCTAGCTCAACCATCTAAAGGGACAGCTATTTGCATGACATTGGTAATTTTTCAACTCTCATTACTTACTGGACGACTTTTTCTGTTTCATCACCATCATAATCATAATCTAAAAATGATTCGTCTTTACCAGGTATACCACATGTACTGGGTCGATGGCTATCTTTTCTACTGCCTTTAGGTGTTACTAACAAAATATATGAAATCTTAAATTTTAAACCTAAATCATCACTAAGGAACTTTTTTTGGAAATTTTTATGAGCTAATCCAGTAGATCACTTTCTGATTTTCTCTGAGAATTTCTCAAGCCTTGGCCTGTATTTGATAATATTGTTTGCAACGCTGCTTGGCATCAGGTGAGAGGAGAAAAAACTAAGGAAGGTTGATTAAGATAGGATTAAGGAAATTAAAAACTTATTTGGAAATGCAAATTTTATGAGCCAATAACAGTAGATCACTTTCTGTTTTTCACTGAGAATTTCTCAAGCCTTGACCTGTATTTCATATTATTGTTCACGCCAACCAAAAATGTAATTCAGTATTGTTTCAGCATCAATTTAGATTGGAGTAAATAAATCTAAAAACTTCAGATTTGAATTTCAAAACTAACCTGATCCTGATTTATCATCATTATATGATATAGAGGAAACACTTTCTCTGTGGAAATGATTACTAACAGCTGAATCTAAACGAGACATTCTTCTCTTTCTTAAAGTCAAACTGGCTCTTCTGGCTACTCTAGCCAGTACATTTTCTTCTGATGATGGATCATGAACATGTATTTTCCACGTAGCCTCTGATTTAGATGTGTGATCTGCTGCATAGCACCTCCAGAGACACTAAATTAGAAATTTTCTGCGATAACAATATGATTAAGACACCTATTACAATTATCATGACACTCTTCAATCAAGAATGATAGGAGATAAAAAAATTATACAAGATTAAAATAGGCCACAGTGTAACTTAAAATATATTTGTTGAAGGAACACAAGTAATTGCATCAAAGTGTTGACTTGGATTACCTATTAAAACCTTATTTACTGACAAATCAGCTAGTTGGCTCAATTTGCAAAACTAGGTTTCCTAGTGAGGATTTTAGTATGCCAGCAGCATGAGGTGAGATCTAGTCAATCATAATCACAGTATTTAACAGGTGTTGTTGACCAACTGAAAAGTATCATTTGGTGGAATAAGTGCCCCCCCTCCCCTCTCCATGAATAAATCATGTATTTGTCCATATTCCCACATTTTGTTACACTCAAGTAAAATTACAGGATGGGTACAGGTCTACCAAGTAACTATAAAATTAAGAAATAAAGGACTACACAAATAACACTATCAATTATATTGAAGGATAGAGGCAGGCTCAATTCCTTACTGGTCACTTTAGTTTTTGGTTGAGTCACTTTTAAAGACCAACTCAATATAAATCCAATATTCTATTTACCTGAATAAGTGTAGCAGCTGCTGGAATTTGTCTATTGAAATGTTTTTGGCGCTGTTTTTGTTGAACCTTTAAGGCAAAACCTGAACCTAAAATACCCTGAAAATTACAAAATGGAACATGCATCATTTATACTGTTTTCTTTTTTTAATGTGAACAGAAATGTCAATTCAAAAACAACTAAGATTTGTGGACTGCTTTTGCCATTTTGATTAAAGAAATTTTATCCATAAAAATTATTATGAGGAAAACTGAATTTACAGAAAAAACTTTTCAGTCCAAGTTGGGGGATCATTTTCAACTGAAATTTCAGAGAGTAAAGTTTGATGTTAATTCCAAATGTAACATTATCAAAACTTAATTTTATAGATCTTGATACAAATGCAATGCAACTGAAAATCTTCATTTGAATATTTGACCTAATCAGGTATCTACAGACAACACAACTAAAATGTAATCAATTGTATCTAAGCGTGTAAAGCGTGTAAAACTAGTTCCAGGAAGGCTCAGACAGTCTATCTATATTTAATAACCAGATTCCAGATAAAGCATGAATGACCTCTTTATTTCTACAAATTGACTACCATATTGTTTGTAGCTATATTATCTAATCTGTGAACAGGCATACACTAAGTGAATTATTTATTAAATGAACTGATTGTATTCTAACCGATAATCATCCAGACATAATTGAATGCCAAGTAAAATTCTGTGCCATGTGGGCTAATGAAGATGCAGGGTGCAATAAGGGCCAGGAAAGTGACTTTAGCCTGCTCTTTTTTTTTATTTCCAACTTTCGAGGGATCTTTTAACGTGCACAGCCTCTAGCACAAGAGACCTCAGTTAATTGTCCCATCTGAACGCTTTTTTTTCCTTGTCAGTCCTCTAGGGCCATGGTCTAAATATGCCACTAACCAGGTGTTAAAAATCAAAGATGTTAGGAAGGTATTTACTTACTGCTGGAAGAGCAAAAAATGATATTGCAAAAACGGCAAAACAGGAGGCAACTATCTTGCCCATCCATGTTTGTGGCACCTTATCACCATAACCTATCGTCATTACTGTTATCTGAAATACAATTCATTCTCAAATAATGAAAAAATATATTCAACTGCCTTGATGACAGCAACTATTTAAATGTATCTGTTAAACTCCTGAGATGGTGAACTGTCTTAATCTAGAAATGAGCTTGGGGTAAAGTCCAAACAAAGTATGTTTGTGTCTCCTCCGTCCCAATTGCCCCCCTTAAGACAAACATGCTATATCACAAAAAGAGGGATAATAACAAAACTAGGATGGTGTGAATTGTCATTTATTAATGACTACAGAATATTGGGGTAAAATCCAAAAAAGTATGTTTATGAAAATGTTATTTTTTGTTATCTGATTTTCTGTGACCTTTGCTTTGTTGCCCCTGTCATTCTCATAGGCTTCAACACAATCTGCGTACTTCCTAAGGTTTAATCAAATGTAGTTTTTCATTGAGATGAAAGAAAATGTGACTTTAATTAGGAAAAAATATACATACCACACCCCACCAAAGGGCATCTGCATAGCTTGCAAAATCTGCCTTTCCATCCTCCCTTTCAGCTAGATACACAAAATAGGAGGAGAAAATAAGGCCAAGAAAACCTATATACAATGTTGTGATTAACTCCTGTAAAGATAAAGAAACAGATATCTGATGCGTGTCTTATCTCTACAGGTAACTTCCAAAACAGTGGTATTTTAAGATAAAGAAACAGATATCTGATGCGTGTCTTATCTCTAGAGGTAACTTCCAAAACGCTGGTATTTTAAGATAAAGAAACAGATATCTGATGCGTGTCTTATCTTTAGAGGTAACTTCCAAAACGGTGGTATTTTAAGATAAAGAAACAGATATCTGATGCGTGTCTTATCTTTACAGGTAACTTCCAAAACGGTGGTATTTTAAGATAAAGAAACAGATATCTGATGCGTGTCTTATCTCTAGAGGTAACTTCCAAAACAGTGGTATTTTAAGATAAAGAAACAGATATCTGAGTCGTGTCTTATCTCTAGAGGTAACTTCCAAAACAGTGGTATTTTAAGATAAAGTAACAGATATCTGAGTCGTGTCTTATTTCTAGAGGTAACTTCCAAAACGCTGGTATTTTAAAATAAAGAAACAGATATCTGATGCGTGTCTTATCTTTAGAGGTAACTTCCAAAACGCTGGTATTTTAAGATAAAGAAACAGATATCTGATGCGTGTCTTATCTCTAGAGGTAACTTCCAAAACAGTGGTATTTTAAGATAAAGAAACAGATATCTGATGCGTGTCTTATCTCTAGAGGTAACTTCCAAAACAGTGGTATTTTAAGATAAAGAAACAGATATCTGAGTCGTGTCTTATCTTTAGAGGTAACTTCCAAAACAGTGGTATTTTAAGATAAAGAAACAGATATCTGATGCGTGTCTTATCTTTAGAGGTAACTTCCAAAACGCTGGTATTTTAAGATAAAGAAACAGATATCTAATGCATGTCTTATCTTTAGAGGTAACTTCCAAAACGCTGGTATTTTAAGATAAAGAAACAGATATCTGATGCGTGTCTTATCTTTAGAGGTAACTTCCAAAACAGTGGTATTTTAAGATAAAGAAACAGATATCTGAGTCGTGTCTTATTTCTAGAGGTAACTTCCAAAACGGTGGTATTTTGACAAATACCATACTAATACCATACAAATTTTATCATAAATTTCATGTAGAATTGGGCTCTGGTGTTTGCACACAATAGGTTGGCTCAGAACTCATTCTGGGAGTTTCCATGCTTTGCTTATAAATCATTCATCCTATACTTTTAACTAACTCATAAAGCTTTGAATTTATACTCTTGGATTTTTGCATTTAGGTGTATGGTATAGGTGTTTTTCAGACTCCACTCTATCTTCTGCTCATTGAAATTGTTTGGGGTTTAGGTATTGTAATGTCATGTGTTTTGGAAATATCATAGTGATGCTTGTCTCCATCCCTCTCGTTTATTTGCTGGAATAGTCCTGGAATATCTGTTGGCAGGATTGAGCCTTATGTCTGGTCTGTATTCTGTATATCTACATAATTTTGGCCAGCTTTCAACGCTGTGATTTATTTTGCTTGACATTAGGTGAGGGGAGAAAAAACTAAGGAAGGTTGATTAAGATAGGATCTAGGTTTTTTTAAATGTTTATTTGCAGTCAGGTTTTAATACGGAGAACTTTCCATGAAATACTGGTATTCAAAATGCTTGTTCTGTCAGTAGGAATAGAAGGATACAAGTTTTGATTCTGTTATTCCTCCTTATGTAAGCAGGCAGGCTGATAGAATTGCATCAATTTCAGAGGACCATTGGAATCATATCATAATGCTTGGGAATCAATTGTGTCAGAATTTCCAAAGATGAACTGAGGCGTTAGATTTTGTCATGCGCTTAACTGAATATTACAGCAGACCTGGTTTGGTTTACTGTTGTTCATAATAAAACTTGTGTTTGTTTGTCTCGATTCCTCGTGTCTATTTGCTTGCTTTTCACAGTATTCGGAACCCTGAAACATATGTAGTTGGTGTGATACGGCCTTTTGTTACTGATCTGTATTCTGTATTATCCAGAAGCATTTGCCCTCCTGGTACATATTCCAAAGATTCAGACATTATTAGTAAAGCATTTAATCAACCAATATAAGTATGGTATGGCTGGGCGATATTGGTTCAAGTTGATATCACGATATGGGTATATATCGCGATATTTTTTAAGTTTGTTATTTACTGATCTAGAAATTTTAATTGTAACATTAAACTATAAATATTTCTAAAACACTTCAGTCTTGAATATCATGATAAAAACATTTGTTTCAAATATCAAGTTACTTGTAAAAATTATGTAGATGATCTTATCTCCACAAAAATTTTATGGTATATCATGATAATTACCATTACTATATTAACCAGTATTTATCGTGATACCGGCATATCGCCCAGCCCTAAAGTATGGCATAGTTTGAGTGAAATGTCATAATAACTGTATTTATAGCCAAATATTACAAAAGTTACAGCCTGAAATTACAAGATATTAAAACTGAATTTTATATGATTCCTGAAATTAATTACCTGTCTATGAAGATATATCACAGAACCTAATAATCTCCAGGTACCACCTTGTCTATCTACATGTAACATGCGTAAAATCTGTAAAAATCTTACACCCCTGAAAAATATCAATACAGATACTAAAAATCAATTGGTTCTTTACAGAGTGCTTAAAGGGGCAGTGTGCAAAATTATCATTATCAAAAACATCATAAGCACCTACTTTTGGTGTTTGGCTTTATAGCAACTAGATATTATTAGTTGAAACCTTAAGAATACGTAGGAGACATATTCCTCTTCAATTAGGTGTTTCTTCAATTGTACAGTAGTTTTCTTAAACCTACCAAAAAGCAAAGCGAACTTAAAAACCTTATGGCAAAACCTTTGGCATTAAACTGTCAGATATGTTAAGGGACATGTTTTTGTAGATTTTGGTGTATGGTTATCATAAATTTGAAGGAAAAAAATTTTGACCTACAAAAAAAGCAGAATGCTCCTTTAATCAAACCTTATTGGACTAATGCTTAGAATAAGGCAACACCATCATGCTCTGTGCAAAAAGGAGAATTTTGCCAATATATTTATTAAACGTAAAAGGCACAGCCTAGCATACACAAGACATCTCATATTGTTCTTTCAACCTGCGTTACAGATATCTGGACAGCCAATCGAAAAATAAGAACATGCTATCTCCACCAAAGCTAAATGTTCCTGAGTAAGTTTTAAATGAAATGAACTCCCACAGTTATTGATGATAAAATAGATGTAGATCAATCTCATTGAGACAAATTATATCCCAGTTATTCTAGGAAACATTAAGATGATTTACTTAGTCTGTAGTCTTAATTCAACTTAATAGTTACCAATCAATCAATCTAAATGAATTTATAACTTACTCTGCAATACTTAATCACCAGGCCCACTTTTAATCAAAAAAAAAAATAAGTCTATAAATTGACCATCCTTATACTTACAATACATGTTGATTGTGTATGTGAGGGTGTGTTTGTGTGGAAGTTTTTTTGGGGAAAACTAGGCTCGAGGGAATTACAAAAATACTTCCAGCCTTCCACGCTGTTCCCCAACAAAGCTTAATTTGATAAGTGTTTTGATCTATACCAGGATTAATTACCTCAAGGGACTAATTTATGAATTTTCAGCGGTTCTATTCAGTCAGGCTATATTCTCTGACAAGAAAAAGATTGCAGGGGATTATCACGAACTAATAATCATTTATATAGGAGAAGGGGGATAATGCAATGGATCAAAGTTCCCAAAGGGGTAATAGAAAGAAAAAAGTTGAAACCTCTGATCTTAATGATTAATAAGCATTTTCTGAACAATCTGTCAATCATAGAAACAGATTCCAGGATAAATGAAGCGGAAAATCACGAAATAGTAAGGATTTATATAGGGGAAGGGGGATAATGCAATGGATCAAAGTTCCCAAAGGGGTAATAGAAAGAAAAAAGTTGAAACCTCTGATCTTAATGATTAATAAGCATTTTCTGAACAATCTGGCAATCATAGAAACAGATTCCAGGATAAATGAAGCGGAAAATCACGAAATAGTAAGGATTTATATAGGGGAAGGGGGATAATGCAATGGATCAAAGTTCCCAAAGGGGTAATAGAAAGAAAAAAGTTGAAACCTCTGATCTTAATGATTAATAAGCATTTTCTGAACAATCTGTCAATCATAGAAACAGATTGCAGGATAAATGAAGTGGAAAATCACGAAATAGTAACGATTTACATAGGGGAGATAATGCAATGGATCAAAGTTCCCAAAGGGGTAATAGAAAGAAAAAACTTGAAACCTCTGATCTTAATGATTAATAAGCATTTTCTAAACAATCTGGCAATCACATTACTAGTAATATCTGGAATGAAAGGAGAAAACTACCTTTAAATTTTAAGACTGATGTTCCTGCCAACTAGTCACTGGATTTTGTGATTCAAACGAAGGGTTACGAATGCAAATATTTCAGTTATTTTCTACAGTCTGATTTCATTCAAAGCAATAAAATGGAAGTTGAACCATACTCAATATCAACTGTAGCAAATTAATTTCTTTTCCGGATGGACGTCTGCTTTCAACTAAATGATGTGTAAATATCAACCTATATGTCACATAAACTGGGATTTCAAGCTCTCAAGCTGGAGCATCATTTTTCATCATTAGATTTCAAGTCTGACAGTAACAGACTGTTTCATTGATTGTATGGTTTCATATTGGTTTCATTGTCTTCTCTGTATGTTATAATTATACTTGACTAAATACAGTGACGGATTTTGGACTTGTTGGGCCGTAGGCAAACCAATGGTAGAGGGCCTAATTTCTCATTTTAATGAGGTGGTATGGTGTAATTACAATTTTTTGGCAGGAAGTTTCGGAACTGGTTTTTTTTCAGGCATAGGTCAATCAGCTCATCAGAATCCATCGTATGCATGATAATCGGTATTCATCACCATTAGACTCAAACAATTTAGTCGATTCTCACACATCACGCTCAGTAGTAGGACAATTTTCCATGGGCCTGCGGTATTTATTAACTGTTTGACAATTTTTTGAGTTACAAAATTTGTCATGTGCCGAATTTTCCATGTGCCGAAAGGCAGCTGTCTAGTTTGCCTATAGGTTAATCTGCCTCTGACTAAATACACCACAATAGGTTATTATGAAATCATGAAAGGAACATTATTTAATGAAGAAATATCATCTGAATATATATCATTATATTCTGATGCCGATTAGGTGTCAATGTACAGCTGGTGAGGCAATTGCCAATACATTAGGGTCAGTTAGTTAGTTTTCTATCCTGAACGAATGCCAATCTTATACCAAACCAAATAAATGTCAGGGCCCTGATTCACAAGTGCGTAAGTTTATGACAAAATATTACACTAATGATCATCTTACGCAAATTCTTACGCGCATGTTTCACTAACAAACTTCTTAGATCTTAGCTACGAAGGATTACACACGTCATCCACAGCATTGTTTTGTTGAATTTACATCTTTATTTCAACAATTAACAGAAATGAAATATATTTCATAAAACTTTTAAGTCCCCTAAATACTTTTTTCTTACGTAAGACAGACTTAAGAAAATTTAGTGAAACGGGGCCCTGTATTGTTACTTTAAAGAGCGCAGGTTCAAAATAGCTATATTTGACCACAATCAATTTTGAAAAAAAAAATTGTCAAGCTAAATTACATGTCCTAATCTTTGGAGAGAGTTAGAGGTAAATCTTGATTCTTTAAGATAATTCTGTGAATATCTTCATACATTCAGAAATGTAAATTTTTTCTTTATTTTAAAAAGTAGCGAGGCCATATCAAAAACTTATTCTAAAGTCATCTACACAACTTTAAGATTTATTTCAAGTGTCTCTTCAGTCTTTTATTCTTAAAAATTTAAGATATTGATTTTCTGTTTTTTTCTTACATCTGCACTTTATCAATAAAAAAATTTCTCAATGCTAGGATTTTGACATTTTGACAAATGTCACTTTATTTGCTTATATTGTCTTTTTTAAAGACCGCATGTGAATTATTGCCTGAACTAATGAATTGAGTTTCCATGTGATTTCTGTAAAGTCAATGCTTCTAGAAGAACTAGAACATAATATATCAAGTTGACCTCTCTATATTTATACATTTATTCTGGCCTGCACAAACATCTTCAAACAGAATATCATCTTCTGTGACATCCATTGTATTTATATACAGTACTTCTTGAAACTTTGAATGATAACATTCGGGTCGCTTTCTTTCCATACCTTCCCAATCCATTCCCAGATAAACATTAAGGTTCAGTTTCACCCCATCGTGTCATGAATACGTGTTTTGACATGGTCTTATTAACCCGTATTAAACTAAGCCCGATGTACTTTGTTTTGAGGACGTGGAAATTAGATTGGTGGCATTTAAATCTGACTAATCAGATAGGTAGAAGAGAAATGAGGTCAAAACAAAACACAACATTGCTTTGCCGCTGCAAAGGTTTGATTTTCTCTAGGCTTGAATTCTTAAATGAAAATCTTACTCAATTCTGTACCGTACATATTCATCAAAATATGCAATGGCACACTGTTTTCGTTTTGTTTAAGTTCACGAACAAAGCGTCATAACAAGTGATTTGTTTTGATTGGCTGAAATTTGCTACCAATATAGTATGGCCAATTTTGATTGGACAATATTTAGCTGTGAATTTTTTCCACGGCCCCGAGGAAGAATGACGAATGGGGGTGTGGTTTAGACATGATGTTTTCACCCTTGCCATAGATTTTGTATTGTGTTCTCCACTGGCCATCAACTCAGCCCACATCTTCCATATTCTAACTTTCATGGATTTATTCACACCCAGTGGTGGTAGGATATAAGTAATCCCACCAGATATAATTGCCAATTCTGTTTGTCTTAATTTCTAGTACAGTCTGTGATGTTCCGAACAGATTATCACAAAGGTTTCAACAAAATACATCAACATCATTATGGAATATAATGTATCAAATATCAGAGTTAACTCCCCTTTAAAGCCTTAAACAAGCCTTGTTTGTGCACACCACTTTTCAGATGCCTAGAAATAAGTGTACTTTTAAATGTTACATTTGTGCAATTTGTTTTTAAAATGTGCCGTCTCAAACAAGCAATGTCTGCAAATCATGTTTGAATGCAGCTATACAAAGCACAAAGATGCATGTAAATGTCAAGATAAATAGTGATAAATAATTGAAAAAAAATCACATTGTAAATAACAAGAGCCTTGAGAGAGTGTCTTTGGATTACATTTGAAAAAAAAAAGACTGTAGGCTGATATTGTTATAAAGATGTTTGTTTTATAAACAGATTAAAATAAACCTGAAGCAGTCAAAGTAATTATAACAGTTGAAATCTGATATCAATTGAAGGATTGATTATCAAATACTGTTTGTTCAATACAAATGAAATCTTCAGTATTTAATTGAATAATTAAAAAAAAACAACAACAGATATTCAGTTTGCAAAACATTGGATGATATCCCCAAGGGCTGTGAATAAAGAAAGAAAATCTATCTCCTTAACTCTTTTTCTGGTATTTAACACAGATTTCAGAAATAGTCATAATAGGAAAAATAAACAGATTTGAAATGACAACCGAAATGTCATAAAACTATAAGACTTGCAGACTGTACTCGGAAGGAATATAAGAAATATTTCACTTTCATGATAAATCTTGGTAATTATTTGAGCAAATTTGACTTTCTATTTTAGTCTTTCTAAAGAAGAACAGATTAAATCCTGATCCAAAATGTGGCGTTCGCAAAATTAATTGCAACGACAAAAGATCTCCAAGGAAAATCCTTCAGAAGCATCTGCGTGATAATAAAAACACTTTTTGTTACTTAAAAGACAGACGAGTCGAGTCTGATAGTAACAAATTGAATTACCAGCGACCAACCAAATCTCCTGGAAAAACATAAATCACAACAAAGACATTGAGATCCAATGACACAAGCCCAAACTAAACAGAAATTAGACTGTGAAAGAGGGTTGCCATATTTGTCAGACATGACCTTTGTCCATCCAAAATGTCTGGTTGATAAAATCATGTGATGGTTAACCCATGCGAGGTTCATCAAGTTGGTGACTATCGATAACACAATCTATTGATAACATGGTCAAAAACTTGTCTCCCCCGTACTGAAAATGTGGGACGAAATCTTTGAATATGGTTTAACTTCAGCATCCCTATAACACCACGGTCTACTGAGCAGGAAAAGACCCAACATTTGGGCAAAATTAGTTCATTTGCCAAAGTTCGGTCTTAGCAATCTCACAATGTACAAATTCCTTTATCTAACCCCCTTCTTGCATTCTTTATTTTCCACTGTCAGTATCCTCAGTAACACTTAACCTGCCTCGACAGCCTGTTACTTGAGCTATGATGATATGTCCAGGTTGAGTAGGAGTTTCATTTCCTCCCTAAAGTCTCGCTACATGAGAAGGTCTTTACTCTTTAGTTTATGGACCAAAATTAAGAAATTCATTGAAGACACTAAGGATGTTGATATGTATATAAATGAGCCCATGAAGAGATCTCCACATCTCCTACCCTCTAAAAGAAGGGAACAGAAAATATCGACTATATGTTACCCGATAATGAACTTTCGGGTGATTTTAGCATCTTTGACCTGAGGAAAATGCCACCAGGTGCTAGTGATGCATTCTGAAAAGGACAACTTATATACATATATTTTTTAGATTATAGGTGATAGGTTTTCCAGCTATGTGGCACTAAAAATCTAATAGTAACAGTTTGTACAAGCCACTGTGAAACAGTTATCACAGAATTGTAAAATGTTGTCTTTCCTAAAGGTGAATCCAGAAATTTGGGGTAAAATTGATGCCCAATCAAAACCATATGATTACAGCTACTAAGTTACAGCATCAATAGAAATAAGAAATGTTTAAGGCCCTAAAATATTTTGATCATAATTTTGTTAAATTAAAAAATATCTTCTTTGCTTCTTTTGTCATGTTTCTCAATATTTGTTTTTCTTTGTTTTTATTGTCAGCAACCTGTTAGTTATGGATCAGTTGTATATTGCAACTATAGTTTGTCATCCATACGCAATATAGATATGAGAAGAGTTACTTCTAGTTGATATGGATGTAAAGATTATTTACCTGATTTTCTGCTCACCCATTTCAATCAGATGAGCTCTGGACAGATAAGATTGGAAGATTCAATTGCTGTTCATTGTGGACACCTACCTTATTGCTGATGTGGCAAAAACTTGACCCTCAGATCCAATAGTAAACACAACACAGGATGCTACAACCACTATTAAATCTACAAATACACAAAGAACAGTTCATAAGCAAACAGGCTACTAATATATATGTTTAAAAAGAGTTCTGATAAAGTCTGTTGTAACAGTTTACTGATATGCTAAAATTCACAAAAACTCAACTTTGTGATAAAATCTTGAGATTAGCAAATATATTGTTACCTAATTGCTTAATATTTTATGCTGTAAAAAAAAATATATGGAACAAAATTGGTGGTAATTATTTGATGCTGAATCCATATATATTCTCTATTTGCCTACTATTCTACATACCAAATTACATTGAAAATGGCTAATCATTAGTTGCTTACGCGAAGAAGAAAAAGAAATTAAATGTCATGCATGACATTAGCTGTGGCTTATGGTAATCCAGCAGCAGACAGTGATTTTAATATTTATGAATCCAATATCAGGAGCTGGTGCAGTGCATCTCTTCCCAAGATGCTCAAGTCCAAGTGTGCCTAAAGTGGAAGAAACGCCATTCGGCCTGAAGTTGAAGCTGAGGTCATGTCATGGATAGAAGACAGAAGAAAGCAAGGCCTTCCAGTGGCTGTATGAAAATACAGACTCCAATCTGGACCAGGTCCTCATGGTGATACAGGTTCCTGATCTGATGTCCAAAAATTGCTGGCCAAGGAAATGAGAACATATTTGTTGGTTATACCTGGTTTACTAACTACTATCCTGTAACCACTGAATGTGTCTAATAATACACTCATGAAAGTTAAATTGCTGCTACTGTTGTGGTGTGTTATTTTGTCTAGCTAGCGAACCTCCTGACAAGACTCTAGTCATCAACAAAAATCTCCGACCAAGACCGCACCATTAGTAAATTGTGGTCCAAGGAAATACGGTGTTCTGGTTGAAGCTGTAGGATTCATTCAAATCAGGATTGCAAAAAAACGTAATTAAATTCACAATGAACTGCAGAATGACTGATTACAAGAGAGGATTATGTAAAGGATGGGAAGGGGAAACAATTTTCTACCCCAGATAAAAACAAGGATTAAAAACCATATATGTTGTAATTTCTATTACATAGTAACCTGATTTAGAAACAGATTATTATGAATACCAACAACTAGACCCTGGTCTATTAACAGATTAATTTCTCTGTCTGGACACAAATTGTATATTATAGTGGATTAACATCAGCTCTGAACTAGAAATATATTACAGGGTTGTCATCAATATATTAATGATATTGTCCACTTCATTCTAATATCCTTTTGGGGTGGTTATCAGACAGTCAATTGAAATATTTTTTATGTTGTAAGAATATTAATAATATATGGTGGCATTGTTTCTTCCTTTTCTAGATCCTTTTACAAAATAGTGGGCACCACAGTACTGTTATACTCTTGCTTATATTAATTTTAGCCAAGCTTATCTGTAGTAATGATCACAGCTTTCCGTTGAAATTTGAGCCTTCAAATCCATGTGTGTCCAGAATTATTGATTTTTGAATGTTAAAATGATGACTTGTCATTGTAAGTTACTCTGTGATATGATAGAAATTTACTCCTAGGTTTGAGTATTTGTGCGATTGTTCCTACATTTCTAGTACTTCTGAAGACTATTAACATATATTCAAGACTAAAATTACAGCAAATGACTGACTCAGTGGTTTGTAAGACATTAATTCCTATGAAGACTGGAGTATCTATGAGAAAGCAGTGTCTGAAACTATTAAAAACTAACTGACAAATTGTTTGGGAAATTCTGATAGTAAATACCCAGGAAATGACAGTCTCCCCAGCAAATATTTATCATGAGAACAGATTTATCATACTATAAAACTCCTTCAAGGTGTTTAATCTATAACCAAAGTTTAAGAATGCAAGCATTTCAGACAATATATTCATTATCAGGGTTGGTAATTTGTCAAGTGGTGGTAATATATGGAAATATTATTCCTCAAAGTAATGGCCAACATTGATGGGACATTCTGCTTTTTTCAATCGGTTTTTGTGGTTTGGATTGTAAAATACATAAACTTCATGCCAACATATAGAGGAAGATGCCCTTTACTTTCCATGAAAGTTTTAACTTAAAATATCCAAGCGTTAAGTCACAAACAGCTACAAAAGTCTTAATGGCTTACGAAAGTATTTTGAATCCCCCTTGCTCCATTTTTACTGTACTAGCAGATATTGATTATGAGATTCTGATTCCCACTGTTAATAACCAATCAGCAGTGATTTAACAAACGTGCCTTCAAAAGTGAAGAGTTGCAAGTTCGTAGTTCAAAATACTCTGTCCAGGCGAAATCAAGTCATGTATTTTTGAAACAGCAATTCTCAAATTATATGTGTATAATGGTGTTTCTGTCGTCAAGTCAAAGTATAATACATATAATATCACTCATAATAAGCACATTGAAATTAAAAAATGAAATGAAATGAATAGAGTTTTTATGAGAGGGGTTTTGTCAGGACTAGCAAAATGCCCCTTTAAGTTAGCTTTTCATGATTTCTACTGGACCAAGCACCATGTGACTTTGGTGTAATGGATACCATTCTGACCCGATGGTCTGGACTAATTTTTTTGTATCAGAAATTTAGTCAGAGCAATTTGTTCAAATGATCCGGTACAATAATACACCAGATATTGAAAATCAGGAAAATGTTTCTTAGTGCAAACAAAATGCAAAGAAAACAACCTAAATTCAACTGTATTACTGGTAGAGATTCTGAAAAGAAGAACTTTTATAACTTGCTTGTTCAGTTATTAGGTTTTTCTTATAAGTCTGATATCATTAATTGGAATAATTAAATTCTCATCATCATTATATCAAAGTTTTTGACCAAACCTGAGAAAGGAATTAATACCAGAATAATCAAATCATCATAGAAATCTAATTTTCTCTTTATGTTACCATAGCAACCAAATGAATTACTCACCTATGATAGAAATGGGCTTCCTTGCAAAACGTATCCTTCCATGTAGACCCATATATTTACTACGACATCCGGCTGACCACAACCTTATAGCATATTCAACACCAAAAAAGCACACAAGAAATATTTCCTGAAAATAGAAAAACAGAAATTAAAACTTCCTGTCTTACATTTTTGCACCTAAATAACAACAGGGAAGGCCAGCAGAGTGCAATCAAGAAAATCTTTTAGGATAAATTTTGATGCCCGTAATGTCAAACTGAAATACCTATGTAAAGGTTAATGTCATTGACCATATATCAAAAACTTTTTTTCCAACAGAATCCATGACATTTGAATAATGCTATTGTAATTAAAACCGACATAAGAAAGTGTATGTGCTTTGATTTTTAAGAGACTTCAAGAGATTAATGTCCAAATTTGAAAATTTTTCACTTTTTTGATATCTTAGAATTTTAAAGGTTATGACGGTTTAATAAACTTTGATTGTTTTGTCTGAAGTTTTGAGTTACAAGCTGACAAGACATGCAATTGGCATATAAGTAAATTTCATAACCATTGTGATACATTCATATTTTTAAACTTTTCCAGCTGAAAAACACTGGCAAAACCTTTCTCACAACATTGCCAATTTTTTTGTTTGACTCGCAAACTATTTGAAGCTTAGTCTGAATTTTTTAGGATTTTTTAACCGACAAACAATTTTTACTGAAAAGAAAACAATTTTTACTGAAAAGAAAACAATTCTTACTGAAAAGAAGACAATTCTTACTGAAAAGAAAACAATTTTTACTGAAAAGAAGACAATTCTTACTGAAAAGAAAACAATTCTAGCTGAAATGAAGATTAAGTTAAAGAACACATGATTCAAGGTTATGCACAAATAATTCTGGAAAGAACTCCATTCATTAAAGTTAAAAAAAGGAGAATATAACAGTAAATAACAATTTAACACATCAATACAGGTATTATCCTAGCGTTATAGAGGATCAAATGGGAGAAAGAAGTTAGGTATTAAAGGGTTGAAATACATGTGATTGAAAATAAAATATGACTGGATGTGAAGGAATTATAACAATATGGTGTCTATATTCTTGGTAGTTGGTATTATTGGTCTCAGTTTAAGGCAGTCTGGCGTTTTCTTTATCATAATGCTTTCTTGGTATATGAGGGTTGTGTCATCTGCAAATTTGGTGAGGGGAGCTTCAGTTTGATGCTCACCATTGTATGGTGTGGCTGGTGTTTGTTTTCAACCAGGTTTTGACTCCAGACTGACTGATTAATTATCAGCTGTAAATGGGTACGAATAATCCGGGAAATATTAGTGCCTACAGGTTTGGCCAAGGACCAACTGGTAGAAAAGGATCCTTAACTGTGAACCTAAGTTGTAATCCTTGTAAAATATACTTGTTTCTTCCTTTTTCTTTCTTTTAAGCTGCACTGCAATAGCATGGATTTAGTTGACAATATCTTTCTGCATATCTTTACTACCAGGGTTGGAATTGATTCTAACATTGGCGTTTATTAATAATTTTAATTTGGCTGGCTGTTATTGTAAAACTTGTAGGAATAAAGCTAATCACTTCAAGAATGGAAATTTAGCAAATGATGGATTAATTATTGTGTATAAGTTGGTTGGATTTGTGTAATATTTCTGCTGGCATTAGGACAATTTCATCTGTAATATATGAATACTTCACATGTGAAACAGGCTCCATTATTTTTCTTGTTGGAACACCTCCACCTTCAGTCTGACTTAAATTTTTGTCATCATCAAAATAGTCTGCAACTAACAATTTCCCACCCATTTTGGAAGATTAAGCAATCATTACCAATTTTGATCTTTCACAAAATCTTCTCTAAACATTCCGCTCGTTTTTGACGCATGACGGAGACCATTTGACGGATACGGCTTCCGCATATATGGAATCATACCCTCTTAAACCAACCATTTCCATTTTTAATGCATGACAGGTCGGCATGACACATATATGGAATCTTAGCTTTAAAACGAAATTGATCTTTGTTGTTAGTTTCATAATTATATTCTTCCATACACAACTTATATAATCCTTGAATTTCCTTTACAGTTGAACTATTTGCATTGACATCTTTTTTTCACAGATGATTCTGATTCAGTATAATTTTTTCCCTTGTGTGTCTGCTGCTCACAACATTATTCTTCATTAAAAGTCCTGTCATGTCATAATGTTACAATGTCACAGCAATCTATTTCCATTTAAACTTTTTCTGCCTTCTGCAATATGTCATCAGGAAATGTATGGTAAATTTCGCACTAAGTATTTATATGATAATATGAATCCGTACAAGTAGGACAATTCCGTCAATCTAAATTCTCGTCCAAAGAATGGCAAAATCGAGAGTTAAAGTTGTATAGTGATGGACTCTTCGAAAAAGAAGTACCATCAATTCTGTATGAAAAATTTTACTTTGATACTTAATTTTCGTGCTTTGATAATTGTTGTTGCCAACGATACAAGTACTTTGTCCCAAAAAATGTATGGTAAATTAAGTACATGACTGTATTTCTATATATGAATTGGGATTTTCATACTTAGTTTTCATACCTTGGTATATGCATTTGCAGATTTAAGTACATTGTGACTTTCATCCATAGTTTTCATACCTTGGTATATGCTTTTGCAGATTTAAGTACATTGGGACTTTCATCCATAGTTTTCATACCTTGGTATATGCTTTTGCAGATTTAAGTACATTGTCACAGAAAATGTGTGGTCAATGTATTAAGAAATGCATTTATCTTTATTACAATTTTCAAAAGTATGGTATGTATTTTTATATAATAATTGGAATTTCATACTCTATATTCATACTTTGATATCAGTTTCCACTTCCTGTATATTCAGAACATTGTCTAAGAAAATGAACAGGAATTGAACCTTGATATTCAATTTCCATACTTAAATAATGGTTTCTGATCTCTCCAGATGTTCCCTGCATCAGAAAATGTATGATAAATTTGAAGAGACAAGTAAATGATTTTTTAACATGAATTTGATTGATGGTTGGTCTAAATGAATAAAGATCATATTACAGCAGAATTTTTACTACAGAATATAAATCTTTTGCCTCAAGATATATAAAATAATAAGTACTAACAAACAATATTTTAATTTTTTAAATAATATTTAAACACCAAAAATATCTCAGACTGTTGAATGTTTGGTTTCATTTCAGGCTGCAGGACTACCAAATGTTAATTTTACTCATGATAATGTTATGGGTAATGGAAAAAAAGTTCTATAAATAGACATTATGAAACATGTAATTCGAAGTTAGAAGGAAACAGGTTTGTTAATCCAGCATTTTTTTGATGAAATATACAGGAATAATTAATGTTTTGTAAACTTGGGTATCATGGTGGCCTCATATAATTAAATCATCTTGATAATGCAGCATCCTACATATTCTACACAAAATTTTTCTTTTAATTTCCGATTATAAAATGCTAAAATGCCAAAAGCAAATTGTTATTTCTTGTTTCCTTTATAGGATGTGCAAAATGTAAACAGTATATCATAGCTGGAGACCGAAATTATGTAAGTGCAATTTAATTTGTTTTCTTGGGCACGACATTGTATAGAGAACTAAGGTATTTGCCTATTTGTAATGACTATTACTAGTATGATAATTAATACTTAAAACTCTAAAAAATCACTAAAAAATTCATCTTTCACATTTACTCATGAAGGTTATTATGTATCACTAGTATTGTACTAAATAATACATGTGACCAATAACTTGAAGTTATCACCCATGGCTATACCAGCCTCACCAGCAGATGGATTTAATGGCAGATCAACTGTCAAAGTTGAGATTCAAAATTTGACAACTTTGTGGATTAAAACTGCCATAGGCAAAAGCCTCTCATTGAGCGTCTGGAAATTTAAAATAATAGAATGGGGTAATGCATTCTGACAAATAGTTTGATTTAAAAACCTATAATAAATATTATTGTAAATAATACGTTTGTGTTTCAACTAATCATTTGTATTTGTTTAATTTCTGCATACTGTTAATAAAAATAAAAAAATCTGCCAAGGCTATAAGTCACTTGTACTCATGAAGTTTATTATGTTTAGCAAGTATGTTATGTTTGGCAACTCTGTGGTAGCGCCATCGGATGGAGCGTCTGAAAATTTAAAAAAAAAAGAATGGGCTATTCTGACAAATAGTTTGATTTAAAAACCTATTATTAATATTATTGTAAATAATATGTTTTGTGTTTCAACTAATCATTTGTACTTGTTATAAGGATTTGTATTCAACAATGATGGCGGCTAAGATTGGATGCTACAGGCGCTAATAAACATCATGCCATCAAGCCTCTTTTAGGTGACGGTCCCAATTCCTCTTGTGCCAAAAGGAGACATGAAGTTGTTTTGTTTCGCTCTGGCCTTGGTCTTATCTGCTCAAGTCATAGCCTCAACCAGTTTGTGAGCACTGTCAGGCACGCCTAGTATCTCAAGCCTGTCAGATCACAGCAACATCAGCTATGAAACCGGGCAAATTTTATTTTAATTTTTGAAAATAAATTTTTCATGGCTTTGTTTTAGTTGTTTTTTTTTTTACGTATTCTTTTTGTGTTCCAATGTCTGCCCTTGTGGTCTATTGTGATATTGATTTTATCATTGTTTATTGTCAACTTTTTAGGGTGTTTTAAAGGTTTTTATAGATTTCACATAAGGTAACAGTAAAAATGATAGGCACTATTTCATTTTTCATGTTGGTCTTAGTAAGGTGATACGTGGAATATGCCTCACTATCACTCACTATTTTGGTGTCTGCGTTGTGCCATCTCAAACCTCAAATTTTCGTCAACAAGGGGTGCGCATTATATATGGGTAAATGGATTTTTCCACCTTTTGATAGGGTAAGGAAGGGTGCGTATTATACACACTTGTGCATTATATTCGGAAATAAACGGTATTCATCTGTTCCTTCCTACATTGCTAAGTTATTGCTTGCCTCCAAGGGACTGTTAGTTTCTATTTCAAATATGGATAAATTTCGAATTAGTGTAACTTACCATTCCAAATAAAGTTTCGTTGGCAAATGATTCATACTGATCAATAGTAGATAAGACACTGAAGATAAGGCAAATAAGCACCATCATAAACCTGAAAATATACAGAAAGATATTTACAATAATATAATATTTTCACTGTTAAGTCAATAGGTTATCATATATACAATATACAGATATATATATATATAGATGTAGATATATCCATACAAAACGAATTTCAGGTTATTATTAACTTGAAAGAAATATACGATATAAACAACATTAGGTACTTTTGGAACATTCCCTGACTAGCTTTATTACTTATTCTAGTGCTGATCAAATTGAAAAAGTTCTTTGATTTGAAGGTTGCAGGTTATCAAAAACCTGAAAATGTACAAGTTATTACAAGGTACAATAAACAAAAATCTGCATCAAAAAAACAAATATGCATTTCAAAATTATTGGCTGAGCAATTTTGTATTTCATATCTATTCCATATTTCATCTATCCTACATAGTATAAAAATTGCTGGCACAATAAGGTTTCATGTGCATTAGGAGATTAGGAGAACAAACATCTACAACATGAAACTATGGCTTCATGAGCAAATTAATTAAAGCATATTTTGTAGAACCATTAATATATTTCTTGATTTTAACTATTAACATGTGATATCAGAATTTAACAAGCTCTCAGACTTAAGGAGTTAAAAACTGTCTGCTTTTATATATCTGTTTTCTATGACATTGCTCCTGGAGAGGGTCATTGGCAGAGCCAGGTTTACGTCCGATTGTGAAATATCTGAGGTTGCCCGAATTTTTAACCTAGTTATGAGAGTCATGCCCAAAAAACTTGCATTTGGTGCTGCGAGGGGTGACGGCTGCCCCATCTGCCCCCCTTCGGCTCCGCCACTTCATAGGGATATTTAAAATGTTTTGCTCATACAATATGCGGCAAATTTACCATTTCATATAATTGAGGATATTTTACTATGTAAAAATTAAAACCTACTTATAAAACCTACTCTATAGAAAAAGCTTAATTATACCATTGTTCATTTGTAGTAATTATTAGAAAATATAGGAAACAACTAATGTTGCTTGATAAAACTTTATGGTAGATAATTATGTACTTCCATCAATAAACCGTCATTAATATCTATTAAGAATCAGAATTAAAATCTGTCACATTTATTTTTAATAGTGACTAATGGATTACTTATTGTTCTCTATATGTTATATTATGTTTAGCATAGAGTTTAACATTCTAGGTTTTATATCATGATTGAGCAAAACCCTACTTTCCTAATACATGGCTAAATCCTTTTCAGATTAGCTTGAAGGATCACCTTCCATTCGAACCTTAGTTTGAGAAACAGAAATTTTTTTAGCTTATATAATCAGTAATAGTGTTCATAGCTCATCATCAAAATTTGAGCCTTCAAATATTCATGTATGAAAATTAAAAATTCGACTCAAATATAGTGAAACTATGCCATAACACATAGCCTATATATAGAAATAGACAGTGAAATTTCTAGTTTGAGGTATATTTGAAGGGATTATGTGATTTTCGTGCATTTAAGTACTTCTTAAGACTATTAAAGCACAATAAAGACCAAAATGAATCTCCGAAAATGCAAATGTTCCCCTTTTCTGCTTGTAATTAGGGCAAATGAAGATAGGATAAATTCTTCCTTTTCTGCTCATGATTGAACTTGTAAAGATGGGCTGCATCCAACTTTTTTGGTTAATGAGGCTCACAAAGGTGGGCTGCTTCCTACTTTGTTTTTGATTTTCTACTCATGGTAGGGCTTTCAATAAATGAGCTATAGCCCATGGTTCATATTCGGCTCACCAAGATGGGCTGCATCCTACTCTTTTTTACCAACGCTTGGGCAGCTAGAGATGGGCTACACTCTACTTTATGCTCATGATAAGGCTTTCAGTAAATGGGCTACACCCCACTTTTCTGTTTCTGATGGGGCTAATGAAAAAGCCTACATTCTGCCTTCAGCTCCCGATTTAACATGCCATATAAGATGGACAACATGTACCAGTTCGTTTTATAAAGCAACATGGAATTTCAGCCTTAAATAGAAATGAAATAGAGTTTTATGATCTACTTGACTGGTCTTTATCAGGGTAATGGATGCAAACAACACTATAAAGTATGCTATTAACAAAAATTGTCATTGAATACAGAATTAAATACCAATGATGTTTAGAGACAACAAAATGTTTCAAGTTTTTTTTCATACTGAGATTTCTAGACTGTTCTCTTTTATCTTGAAATGAAATGGAGTTTTACATTTGATATTTCATTCTATTTAATGGGATTCATTCGAAAGTGTTTCATGAAAGTAACATTTTCTCTCTTGTGCAGACAACAATCAGAAATTTCCAACTGATATACATGTATCTTATCTACATCTCATATTCAAAACAGACACATCAAGATTAATAAAAAATGTCGCTTTACAAATCAGTAACAGCACTAGCCTCTTGAGACTGGGAGTACAACTTTCAAGGCTGAATTAAAAACTCTGCAAGCCTCCCATAAAGCGTCTGAAAAGGTTTTCCCAATCAAATTTTCGAAAAAATAAATTAAATTAGTATGCTTTTGACACATATTTTGGGGAAAAAAGTAAAAAAAAAGTGTGGGATACAATTTGGGGTGCAAAGGAAGAATGATGTTTAGTATTTTCACACCACAACAAACTAAGCTACAAACTACATGTGACCATGTGAACACCAGAACAGAATCTATGAAAACCCTGTTGATGATGACTTATAAAAATAACTAAATGAATAGCTCTTAAGTTTGAATTTAAGTTGAAGTTTCTAAAATTGTGTTTGCATCATTGCTTCTGTGATATATCCATGCTATGACTGGTGTATAAGAAGAGAATATCTGTTTAAGTAAAGCTAGGTGCAGACGAGGGATTGTCTGTTGAAAACAAAAAAAAAACATTAGTTTGAATTAGCCGCCAAAAAAAGAAAAAAAATTTAAATATACCACTTTTGTCTCATGTGACCTTGAGGTTTAAATATAATTTCATTTCATGTGATGCGATATTGTATGTTGATTGGTTGAGGACAGAAAATGTTTCGTAAAAATGTTTTTATTCAACGCACCATTAAAACATTTGTCTGCGGTCAGAAGTCTGTCGTCTGCTTTGGGCTTTGTAATATAAAAAAGTAGATTTCAATGTTTCAAGTAAATCTTAGATAGGTCATTAGAAAAGAAAAAAACATACATTTTTATCCTATTATATCCTTTACTTTTAACCTAGTGGAAAATATTATTGAAAATGCCTGAGTGAATTTTTTTTATCAGTATGAAATGAGGGGTGATTATTTTGTTCATTGCCTATTCATCTTCATTTGTGGCTGACTCAAAGGTGCTTCACTAACAAGTAATAACAGCGTCTCAGAGTGCCGCTGGCTACAAGATGGCATAAAGAATTCAATGAAAACTTGCGGAACTTGTCTGAAATGAAGTATGCACTGAAGACTCTGATTTTCTTTTTTACACAGATTACAAAAAGCGGACAGAATTATAGACATGGTTTAAGGCATAAAAATTTCAATGAAAGCTTGCGGAAAATGTCTGAAATGAAGTATGCATTATGACTCTGATTTTTTATCTCTACAGATGGCAAACAGAAAAATAGACATGGTTAAAGCTCTGTTTACCACTTAATTATTAGAAATTAAGTAACACTCCTACACTGGCATAAGCCTACTCTGTTCTGGAAGGCCAGACACTCTATATAAATGTCAGCTGACAAGGGAAACCAGGTTGAAAGCTTAAGCTTCCGACCTATGCTGGAATCAAACCCTGGACCTTCAGTGAAAACAGACACTAAACTATATTAATAACACCTTTATGTACGTCTTACTTCATCAATATATTACATACAAGTGTCTTGAGTGACGTTTAATACTGCGCATGTCACATTAATATTCATGTTACTCATTAATATTCATATCCTAACATTCAGGCCAAAGAAATAAAAACATATCATTATATTTTGATCGTGGACTAATAACAAATCATTGTATTTTGATCATGAAATAATAACAAATCATTGTATTCAATCAGGAAATAACAAATCATTGTATTTAATCATGAAATAATAACATCACAGTATTTTTTATCATGGAATAATAACAAATCATTGTTTTTAATCATGAAATAATAACATCACAGTATTTTTTATCATGGAATAATAACAAATCATTGTTTTTAATCATGAAATGAAATGAATGGAGTTTTACATTCCTACTTTTCTGCACCATGTGGGCTAATCAAGACGGCCAACGTCATGCAGGGTGCAATTAGGGAAATTTTGCCAGGACAGCGATATTAGTCTGCTCTTTTTTGATTTTCAACTGTCGAGGGATCTTTAACATGCACATCCTGTAGCACACGGGGCCTCGGTTTATTGTCCCATCCGAACGACTAGACGCTTTTTCCATGTCAGCCCCTCTTACCTGCATCACTGACAGGGGGAAACCGGGTTGAAAAATCCGAAGGTATTATCTTGACCTATGCCGGGATTGAACCCTGGACCTTCAGGTTAGCGAGCAAGCGTCTAACTCACTGAGCCACCGCGGCTCCCGTTTTTAATCATGAGTAATAACAAATCATTGCACTCAGTCATGAATAATAACAAATTGCATTCAGTCATATGAAATAATAACAAATCCTTGAATTCAATCATATGAAATACTAACAAATCAGACAACTAGATTTCAATAACCATTTACTCTTTCTTTTATAAAATTTCCAATTTCAATACCATTAATATTCACATCAAATCTGTCTGTAAGGTATACACTTAGAGAAATTTATCGTCCAATTTTCCTCAATTGTATAAAATTTTAAATTGATTTAATTTAGGAAAATCACTGCCTCAGCAAAAAAAGAAACTGTAACTTTCTACATTATTATTTTTTATGGACTTTTTGTCAAGCAATGCTACAAGCTATTTGATTGATTGTTCAATAAAGCAAAACGTTTTATAGTGTTTCGTGAGGTTCTGTTGTTTCCTCAGAACAAGTCGTGCCATATCAATAGGAAACTGAAGAATAGTCAAAACGTTT